AGCAGCAGCAACTGCAGCAGCAGCAGCAACTGCAGCAGCAGCAACTGCAGCAGCAGCTGAAACTGCAGCAGCAGCAGCAACTGCTGCAGCAGCAGTAACTGCAGCTCCCTTTGATGCTGTTAATCCTGCATAATGCACATGCATATGCAGTACTAATCACATTCCTGCATTTCCCATAAATATGCTAAATTCCTTTTGATATGCAAATTCCTTTGTCAATGCGCCCAGCTTATATATATGCTCAAAGCTCGTGTGCTGTTTCATTCAGACTCTGTCGCCTCGACGGACCTGGTTTTCACCTGAGGACGGCTGCTTGCGTTGTGGCCGAAACGTCGTGAGAATTGTTTTATTATGTTTTTTTTTATTACTTTATTACTTCCCTTCTACGTGACTTTACCGAAAGAACCAAGAAGATAAATTTTGAATTGTTCTTAATAAAAAAAGGGTATAGACACAACAAATCTCTTTTTGCATGGTTAATCACATCTTTCCAATGATTACTCAGTTTGTAACCATCATCACGGTTGAAATTATGTCTGTGTTTGTATATTTGTATGGCTTCGTGTACAAACCTTTGATGGTAGCCAGGAGGTTTGCAGAGAACCTTGGTCTCGGAAAAGACAATTTCATGAGAGCCCACCGAGTTGTAGCAATGATCGGCAACGGCCGAAGAATCAGTTCTGCCGTGTTTCAGATCTGACTTGTGCTCGTGGACACGATCAGAGACATGACGTTTCGTTTCTCCAATGTAGCAATCACCACAAATGCAACTCAATTTGTAGACTCCAGGATACTGTAAGTCAGGAACGACATCCTTCACAGATGGAATCAGATCACGGATTTTATGCACTGTATTGAATCGGACTTGGATCTTATGTTTGTTTAGAATTTTGGAGATCTTTTTGGTCACGCCTGCTATGTATGGTAACGTGATAGTTTTGGTCGGAGTTTCATGTGGCTGTTTCTGTGTGGTGGGAGAAACAGCTTGGCGGATAGTGCGGTCAGAGTATCCGTTCATCCTGAGGGCCCGATGTACATGTCTTAATTCACCGGCCAGGTGGTGTTGGTCAGAAATGCCATGGGCTCTGTGGTATAGCGTTTTGATGAGAGAATTCTTTTGAGATGGGTGGTGGTGGGAATCCGGTTTCAAGTAGGAATCTGTGTGGGTGGCTTTCCTGTAGACAGAATGTCCCAAGGATCCGTCAGGCCTCCTCTCAAACAGAATATCCAAGAATGGTATTTTACCGTCTTTCTCCACTTCCATGGTGAATCTGATGGATGGGTGTCTAGAATTGATGTGGTCCAAGAAGTGGTTCAATGCTGGGAGGCCATGTGGCCAGATGACGAAAGTGTCATCCACATACCTCTTCCACAGGGAAGGACGCAGGGTGGATGTCTGGATGGCGTCTGATTCAAACTTTTCCATGAACATGTTGGCTATAACTGGTGACAAGGGGAGCCCATAGGGGTACCCTCCATTCTGTTTGTAGAAGGTGCCATTCCAGGTAAAATAGGTGTTGGTGAGGCAATGCCTAACCAGCGCAGGTACATCAGAATTCAATCCATGTTGGTCTAAGTCCTCAATTATTGTTAGGGTGTCCGGTACTGGGACTTTGGTAAACAAAGATACTACATCAAAGCTGACGAGGATGTCATCAGGAGATAGTATCATGTCCTTAACCATAGAGACTAATTGGGTTGAGTTGAGTACTGCCGAAGAGGTCTTGCCTGTGAAGGGAAGCAGAGTATCTGATAGAAAACGGGCTAGTTTGTACGTAGGAGAGTTTGTCGTCGACACGATGGGTCGTAGCGGGGTGCCTTCTTTATGGATTTTGGGAAGACCATAGAGTCTGGGAGGTCTAGCCGCCGATGGTTTTAGAGAGGGACGTTTGCTTGGTTCGATTAGGGAAGTCGAACTCGTGATGATACTGTTGGTTTTTGTCGTTAGGCTTTTCGTGGGATCGTTTTTAATTTTGGAGTAACTCCCATCATTAAGAAGGTCCAGGATTTTGTTGTTGTATGAATCTTTATCCATGATGACCGTGGCATTGCCCTTGTCTGCCGAGAGGATGACTATATCATCTCTCTTTTTTAGGTCCGCGAGTTCAGAGCGTTCGTTTTTGCTGATGTTACTAGTGGGTTTCTTAGCATTCTTAAGAATAGTAGCTATTTCAGCTCTTGCTACATCCGCATGGATGTGTCCTATGCCTCTGAGGGCTACATCACCCATCCATCAGATTCACCATGGAAGTGGAGAAAGATGGTAAACTACCATTCTACCATTCTTGGATATTCTGTTTGAGAGGAGGCCTGACGGATCTTTGGGACATTGTCTACAGGAAAGCCACCCACACAGATTCCTACTTGAAACCGGATTCCCACCACCACCCATCTCAAAAGAATTCTCTCATCAAAACGCTATACCACAGAGCCCATGGCATTTCTGACCAACACCACCTGGCCGGTGAATTAAGACATGTACATCGGGCCCTCAGGATGAACGGATACTCTGACCGCACTATCCGCCAAGCTGTTTCTCCCACCACACAGAAACAGCCACATGAAACCCCGACCAAAACTATCACGTTACCATACATAGCAGGCGTGACCAAAAAGATCTCCAAAATTCTCAACAAACATAAGATCCAAGTCCGATTCAGTACAGTGAATAAAATCCGTGATCTGATTCCATCTGTGAAGGATGTCGTTCCTGACTTACAGTATCCTGGAGTCTACAAATTGAGTTGCATTTGTGGTGATTGCTACATTGGAGAAACGAAACGTCATGTTTATGATCGTGTCCGCGAGCACAAGTCAGATCTGAAACACGGCAGAACTGATTCTTCGGCCGTTGCCGATCATTGCTACAACTCGGTGGGCTCTCATGAAATTGTCTTTTCCGAGACCAAGGTTTTCTGCAAACCTCCTGGCTACCATCAAAGGTTTGTATACGAAGCCATACAAATATACAAACACAGACATAATTTCAACCGTGATGATGGTTACAAACTGAGTAATCATTGGAAAGATGTGATTAACCACGCAAAAAAGATTTAACTACACTTATTTGGCCAATCTTATTTGACAGACAACTATTACAGGTTATTGATAGACAGCCAGGCTTGTTTTACCATGTTTAGTTGTTTTCTCCTTTTCTCACTATTGTTATGTAGGCCAGGTTTAGTCACAAACCGTACCTCTCCATAACAAAGGCTCACCCTCTTAAGCCTCACCTTACCATATGAATAAAAAGTGTGCCGTACTTGGCCCTTCCCCCCTCTCCAACCATATATACGGAGTGGTAGCTCTTGCAATCTCTCATTTATTTGATACAGCTGTCGTGGCTGTGACGGTTCCACCTGAAGACGGAAGCTTGTGTTGCCTCCGAAACGTCGTGATTTTTATTTTATTTTACTTTTAATGTTTTACCTACGTGACTTTACCGAAAAAGCCTAAGAATATGAATCCTTGCAGTCACGAAAGCTTCAAATCTAGAATCACATCAAAACTGACAAGCAGGTCGTCTGGGGACAGGGAAATTCCCTTGATTGTCGATACCAGGTCAGTAGAGTTTAGTACCGCAGAGGTGGTTTTTCCAGTGAAAGGCCGCAGGATTTCAGACAAAAAACGAGCCAGTCGTTGAGTAGTTCTTGAATTTTGTTGTTTTATTCTATTTTGTCCATGATGGCAGTAGCATTGCCTTTGTCGGCTGAGAGGATGACAATGTCATCCCTATTTTTTAATTGAGCTAATTCAAAACGCTCATCTTTGCTGATGTTACTAGCTGGCATCTTAGCGTTTTTGAGGGTTGCAGCGATTTCAGATCTTGCTACGTCTGCAGCGATGTGACCCAGGCCCTTGAGAGCCACATCTACTCGGGCAATGATATCATTAACTGGTATGTGTCTAGGTGTGACTGCAAAGTTTAGTCCTTTAGCTAAAACGGATTTCAGACTATCAGAAATAGAACTGTTACTGCGATTAATTACGACTTTGTTAACGTCTAGCTTTTCAGTGTGTGGGTCCGGTCTCTTATTTGAGAGGCGGTTGAATTTGGAAATCAAGTTGTCCTTACATTTGGTCGACATAGCGGCAGCTGAAGAGGCAGTCATATTGTCTACATGTTCCCAATCCGATGTGGACATTGTTGCAGTCAAAGATAAGTGTGATTTGTAGAGTGTCTTGTCTAACTGATCTAGTTCGGTGTGCGTAATGCTGATTTTCTCTGAGATAAGAGCTAAGCTAGTTCTAGACAGAATTCGTTTAGCATTAGAGGAAGTTACAGCAGCAGAGGTTAGTGTAAATGCGATTGGTATTACCCCGTGCGAGTTATCAATTTTTATTGTGTATGTGTCATGATGTGATTGCTGTACATGTACCAATCATGCAAACCAGATGTTCTAGCTCAAGGGATTATCCACATGCAATATTTTGATTAAAGATACATACCCCTAAACATACATACACAACAACCAGACAAATATTCCTCATATAGCCTTAACAGACTTTTGGGGCAAATGCTGTTAGCAAGTAGCACCTATGAAGGCCAGAACGGTACATGAGGGAGTGGGTGGCCAGCCCCACGCCCGACTCCTTTTTCTCCCCAGTGGTGATGTTTTTACACACCGCACTAGGTACTCATTTGAGGCTGGGTTGACCTAAGGGAGGCGCAGGACCAGTTCAGGTAATTGTCACTGGTGTTGGCCGTGAGCGGCAATCGGACGCATGTGCTCGGGTTTGTAGCGCAGCGTGCTAACCGTTACACAAGCGTATGCATACATAACAACAATAACCAGCATTTGCCACTAAGTGGCGGTGACGTCACCACGGCGTTTGTCCCAAGCTATGTTCACTTTAAGGCCACGTGAAGTATTGAACGCCCGCTGGCAGGAGAACACGGGACAGACCCAGATGCCATGGGTTGACTGACCGATGCACCACCGATGCACCACCTGTGCCCCATACTGTGCCAACTTGCTGTGTTTTAGCCACCCGGCGCTCTGTTTGTAATATGAATGTTGAGAGTGAGTGCTGGGCCGCCGTCTTCTCTGTGCAGAGTGGCGTACTCCCCGCTCGTCGTGTGCACTTCTTGCCTCGATGCGGAATCCAAGCACGTGCTGAGCTCCGCGCTGCTCGTGCTGGGAGGACATTTCGTCTCCCAATGGACCAGCGACTGCACCCACTTGGTCATGACGTCCATCAAGGTCACCGTGAAGGTAACGGTTCCCGTGCTGGGTTCCATCCACCGCTGGAACCGGTGGGAATGTGACCTGGTAGACTGGTCACACGACAAGGGATGGCGACTTGGCCCTGCATTCGTAGTAATGGCTCTGCTCAGGATTGGCTCTGCTCAGGATTGGCTCTGGTTCTAGTGAGCCGGCACAAAGCCACGCAGTTACATTCTGTCAAATCATGGCTCAGCCGCTCATGCGTTTTTGAAAGCAGCTGAGTGGCTCAAGCCTGAGCCGAGCCGTAACTATGACTTTGGCCCACAGTGTTGATATCATCAACCATTAATTCGCTGCTGGATGACTGCCTCCCCAAGCAGCAACCATCTCTCACGATATTGCAATGTACAAATCTGTCCAGCACCTGTGTGTGAACTGATTTCGCCGCTCCATCTCCTTGGCGGCCTGTCGGAGTTAATTTTCTCGTCATGGAATTCTGCTCAGTTTTGCGAGTGAGCAGTAATATTTTGCCACGATGGCGAGATGTCAACTACCTCGCCCGGTATACAGAAGGCCGTGCATTCGATCCCGACCCTAACGGCTGCTGTATATTTGGAGTTTGCATGTTCTCGTGATTGCGTGGATTTTTCTCCAGGACCTCCAGTGTTTCCCTCCACATTTAGAAACATGCATTTCTAGTATTTGTCTGCTATAAATTTCCACGCGATAAGCCACTTTTGTTGGGCTATGATTCATTGCCAGGTCGCTTCTGAAAAGAAGCTACACAGCTCAAATGGGCCTTACCTGGTAAAATATAAATAGTTTAGTTTTTTAGTGACTGAGTTAAAGCCCATGTACTTGTACAGGAAGAAGCTTTAGATTTTCAGTTGTGCAGATTTTTTAAAACCCATAATCGGCCCATAGCATATTAAAGTTACGTTTGTGAATCCCCTTGTGGTGCCTGCTCGTAATATTCCGTTTGTTTACTCCAGACAGCCTCACCGAGTCTCAAGACTCGTTTTCAGGAGGGTTCCTGCCAAGTTCTCACAGTAGGGAGTAATGTTTCTGCCATGTGTGATACCAATTGAGTAATTTGCAGGATTTGATGTTTCACAGGATGCTGCTTGCACAGGCTGCCAGTGCCTTGTACTGCAATGTACAAAGCCAGGTTTTGCTTGCTCGGCGTGTTCGCATTTGTTCCTTTGGTGAGAGAGATACTCAATCATCCGGGAGAGCCACACTGGGTCATTAGACTCTTTTTCAGGAGGTTCCTGCTGCATTGTTTTTATTTATGTATTTACTTAAATATGTTTCCAGCCAATTTACGATTAATGTTTGTTCCCATAGAGATGTAAACAGATGGTGGTTCGTCCACTTGCTGTACTGCCATCTGGCAAGTCAGGCTATGGCACCTCAACGCCCATGGGAAGGGAGTTCCACAACATCAGTGTTTGAGCCACCAACCCTCGCCGAAAGTGCCGGATTACAGGCCACATGCATAGGCTGGCGGTGGCGCCATCTCATGTGCTTAGTTTACAAATAAATAATTTCTTTAAAGCCCACCAGAAACTTTTTTTGTAGAGGTTCGTGGTTGGAATTTTGCAGGCCGCCCTGGTTAATACTGCGGGTGTATTGATGAAAATATACACATTTGTCTACTTCACAGTGGACATGAGAGTTCCCGCGACGTCATTCCAACAAGAGTAGGTCCAAATACGAAAATTTACCCACAACCCACTCGATTGAGAAACACATCTCTATCCTTGCCCCTACTGAGAAAGTCCAGCAAAACCCACCTATAAAGGTCTTGAGACTCCGTAAGGATTTCCTTGGGTAAATGAGTGGAATAAAAAAAAACTAACCTATTTTTTATTTTACCAGGTTAGTCCCAGTTTTTCAGAAGCGACCTGGCCACAAATGATTGCTCAACGAAGTAGCTTATCACGTGGAAATCTATAGCAGCCAAATACTCTAAACGCGTGGTGTTGATTCTAAATGTTGAGGGAAAAACCGGAGGAACCGGAGAAAAATCCACGGGGAGAGAGACACGCAAACTCCAAATATACAGACATCAGTCGGAATCGAATCCACGACCTCTTGCATACCAGGCGAGGGATTTAACATCTCGCCACTGCCACGCCCTCCAAGACAATGAGGGAGAATCCTTCATCGTGTTTTTATCACAGTTGCAATGATGTGTTTTTGTCCATTACTAGAATGATCAGTAAATCCTCAGGGACTTGTGGATAACAAAATTGGCCTTTACGGCTATGGGATTTGTGGATAAGAGGGTTACAAACAAGGGGTGTTCTACCGTACATACTCTTACATCTGTAACAGAGTTAAAACACCGCATGGACATTAACCAATTACCAGGTAATGGTTCAGCATTGGGCTCTTTGGCCAATACCAGTTACATTGTGTCGTGATTATTTAGCAATGGGAGGAAACCGGGGAAGCCCGACGAAACCAATGTAGACGACTCCACAAAGGAAGGCGCCCGTATCGGCAATCAAATTCAGGCCCTTCTGGCTGCGAGGCTTGGGTGTTGTTACCACTGCTCCACTGCTGCTCTGCGGTTCTCTGCCTCGCACCATGGGCATACGAGGCGGTCGTGCGGGTGGTGGCGGTGGAGTAATGGGCGTGTGGTCCCGTGTTTGCTGTGCTCTGCCACAGACGATCTGCGCCCTCATCACGAGCATCCCCATCGTGCAGCCGGCGTTCTTCTCCACGCTCGTCACGGCCATCAGGAGCCGCTCGCCACAACCCAGCCACAGCAGGTGAGGGCCCACACACTGCCTTCGCTGTCTCATAATTCATTCCCTACCCACCACTCCCGGTGTGCACCCCACCCACAAAGACAAAGATCCCCCATATAGCAAACTAGCGGGAAGTACCCGGCTTTGCCCCGGCGAAAAAGACACACACATCGACTTAGACACATACACAGACATCGACCCACACACACAAACACATCGACTTAGACACATACACAGATATGGACTCACACGCACAGACATCCACTTTAGATACACACACATGGAGTTACACACACAAATCGATGTACACACATACAGCGACTCGCACACATACGTAGACTCTCACACACACATCGACCTAAGCACACATATGGATTTACACACACATATCGACTAAGAGACACACACATGGACTCACACACACACATTGACTTACACACACATGGACTAACACACATACATCGACTGACACACATAGACACACACACACACACATGTGTAATAAAAGGACTCAGACGCTTCTCGCTGACTCCGTGTCCTTTATTTGGGGTTCGCGTTTTCCTTCCCACACGGCACTCCTCCTGAGACTCTCTCCCTGGCAGCCCCACATCTGCCTTCGCTCCCGTAGCCTTCCACGCTCCTGCAGTTCCGCTGCAGGCTCTTGGCACAGCCCTCTGGCTGCTCCCCCAGCAGCTCCATCGCTGCTCCCTGTTCCTCCGTGCGTGGCGATCTCGCCACCTCCCAATGTCAGCCCTTCGTGGCCTCTATGGCTATCTCGCCATTTCCTACCTCAGCCCTTCGTGGCCTCTGTGGCTATCTCGCCACTTCCTACCTCAGCCCTTCGTGGCCTCTGTGGCTATCTCGCCATCTCCAACCTCAATCCTCCACTCTCCCTTCCACCCCGCTGGCTGGCGCCGTCATGAGCCCCTCAGCCACCAGGCTGAGGCACGGCGACCACCCAACGTGTTCACCACCCTTCACTCCCCCGACTCCCCCGACTGACCCAGATAGCTTCCTGTCTCCCCGCTATAACTTCTCCCCCACGTCACCCTGACTCCTCCCTCTCGGATCGTCATATCCGCCCCGCCCATTTACGCCCGCATTACACTACCCTCCCCCGTAGAGAAAATCCCAGCCGTCCTCGGCTGAAACAGAACAAAATAATGCGGGCGAAGGCATCACAATCAGGAGTCCCCCAGACACAACGGAGATTATAACAACAACAACACAAGCAACGAAAGGGGAGGTATCAGGAACTGGAACAGAACACCGGCCTGTCCTCCGCACAACAACAACAAGAATAAGAATGGCACAATGAACAAAAACGGCAACTGACACGCAAGAACGGCCAACGCGCACAACCCAGAAATGTGATGTTTTAGTGCGTGTCCATGTTGCAGTTCCATCCGCTCGGCTCAAGTCCAACGTCAAAGAGCAAGTGGTAGAGCAGAATGACGAACGGCGCTCAATTGCTCCTTCAAGTCCTCATCCAGCTAGCACACCAGGTAACACCCAGTGCGACGGGAGCTGAAGAATCTGTGACGAGAAGGAGAATCCAATCCCCTGAGGCACAGCACAACAACGCACATCCGCATGTCGTACACGACAGCCACCCGGCCTCAGGGTAGTGGAGATGATGTAAATCCAGCCCGCTTAAAAAAAACTCCCCATAAATACCCAAAATAAACGCAATGGATGCCCCAGTATTTACATTTTAACAACAATATTATTTACACGTAACAACAACAACAACAAAATTTCCTGCTCTTGCCCACCAGCAGTCCTCCCTTGAGGACCAGCACAGACATCGCACGTACACAGCATGTACCCACGGTCACTCTCAGCAACCCAACAAAACACCTAATCACACACCCTCGCGTGGAGAGAGCCACGCTCCCCAGCGGTAACGTTTAACTCGCCCTAACCCCCACCGTGGTCGTCAACCCACAGCAACATCCACTGACCATACTCTCAGCTAGTGCAATTTCGGGGATGAGCAGCAACTCGGCCATGCTCCTCCCTTACTATCCCATCAGAGATGGACACACACCAGCCTCGTATAGTCCGATGCTTTATAGCCCAGGGAAGGTTCATCCCCCAGCAATGCCAGACCCCATGTACTCCCCCCACGGGGCAATGTTCCCTTATAGAGACAATAACACCCTAACCCAGATCCCGTGAGCCCCCGGCACACCAGGTTCAGTCTGCCACCGCACAACTGAACCATGACTCCCCGAGCCATATGAGCACATGGCCCATTAGTTTAAGACATACCACGGAGGTTTCGCCTCCGGGCTGTCAGGTCAGCCATCAGCCATAGGCCGATGTGACCACAACTCGTGCATCACCCAATCAACAATGGCAGGCATAACAGATGGAATATTTGCCCCACCCCGGTTTTTCCCGCGCGCTCAAAATGGCGTCCCCCTTCGCCCAGCGCATTCGCGCAATATCTCGCGCGCACTCAAAATGGCGGCCCTTTCCGCAAAGCGCATCGTCGCCATACCCCGCGTGCGCGCAAAATGGCGGCCCAACGTGCGAACACGTGGCCAGAAAATGGCGGCCCAACGTGCGAACACGTGGCCAGTTTTCTCCATTCGTGCACCCCAGCTTCCCTATGCTGGGGGTCACAAAATGCATCCCCCGTCTTATTGTAACAACCCCAACAACGATAGACGCACAGCCCCAGCTTGCTGCGCACAGCTGTCATATCGTGGAATTTTTAACCAATATTTTACCAACCACATTAGTTACACAACCCAACTCGCAAAGCAACTCGTGGCTGCATGCAATCAACCAATACACGACGCCACTTGGCGCCCATTTACGATCCCATTAGCATTAACATCTAAGCCACCCACAATGGCGTCATCGCGCACCCTCATTTTCAAAAAGCTCAATTACCCCTATAATATACACGCAATCTCGTGTGCACAACACCCATACAACCAAAATTTTGGGTCCCCCTCTATAATATACACGCAATCTCGTGTGCACAACAACCATACAACCAAATATTTGGGTCCCCCTCGAATTTGTTACCAATTTCCAACAGGTACGCACAATATAATAACAATCTCAATTCCAATAGTCAACCACTGCATCGCACCCCATAACCATACAGAACGGTATAACAGCACATGCAATCAGCATATCGCGATCACACGCGCACATTTAAGCACAATAGCAAGCAGATCTGCAGGCAACCAACACACCATTAATCCTGTCGTAACTTTGCAGCAACAACACAATTATTCTCTCTCTTGCAACAATCGCATCGCACACAGCACCTCGCAGCACAATACACCAAAAAAAAGATATTTTTTTTTTTCCAATTAAGCCCATCGCACAAGGTAACCCACAAATAATACAGCGCAAGATACCCGACGCTCCCAAGTTAATAATTAACTTCACCATCAAGATAAGAACTCCACGCAGCAGCGCACACACACAATTTGACACTCAGCAAATACAGCAGACTCTCCGTCCATTCTCAACACACGCACACACTTATATTGACACCAAGCAACAAGCAGATAGCGCGTTCATCGTTATTACACACACATACACAGTCCGAACCGCGCTCCGCACAATCGAGTCATAAGAGAAAACCAAAATAGCCCCCCCGGCCCTCGAAAGATGAGTGAGGTGTGTGTTAAGGCCGGGTGCGTATCGTTATGACTCGCCCGGGGCTGCAGCAAGAAGAGGACGGCAGGGTGGCAACTTGAGACGCCTCGCAGAACTCGTTCGGCGACTTGACGGCTCCGTTGTCACGCACCCGAGCCAGGACGGGAAGCTCCCGCCCCAGCAGCTGCAGCATCGGCGTCTTCTCCTCGCAGCACCCCCTCGAAAAACAGCAGCTCACAGCAGGCTGCTCACCCCGCGGCACCTCCAGATGGCAGCGCAAGGCTGCCTCTCCGCCGCGATGTTGAAGATGGCGGCGTCCTCCCGCCGCGGTGAAGACAAGATGGCGGCTTCCCGCCGTTTCTCCCCTGCCACGCCCAAGATGGCGTCTTCGTGCCACGTGGCAATGGCGCTGGCAGCGCAGGAAAGGCAGAGGCCTGCGGATCACCACCGGGCCTCCCCGACGTCGTCCTCGGCGTGGTGAACTCACACAGTCGCGCCAGCACGATTTCCAAGGTCCCCATCTGCATCACCATCTGTCTCCATCGTAAGTTGGCATCCTCCGGCACAGACAGGTCCACCGACGCGGCGACACCTTGCTCACCCGGACCCGTACTCGTTCCAGAACGGATCTCCTCTTCCATCGCAGGCAGGTCCACTGTCTGAGGAAGGTCGTCGTCGTCGGATGATGTAGCAGGAATATTATATATTTTTTTTCTTTCTCTCAGTTGTTTTGAGATGCCGTTTCACTTCTGACTCCAGTGTAATAAAAGGACTCAGACGCTTCTCGCTGACTCCGTGTCCTTTATTTGGGGTTCGCGTTTTCCTTCCCACACGGCACTCCTCCTGAGACTCTCTCCCTGGCAGCCCCACATCTGCCTTCGCTCCCGTAGCCTTCCACGCTCCTGCAGTTCCGCTGCAGGCTCTTGGCACAGCCCTCTGGCTGCTCCCCCAGCAGCTCCATCGCTGCTCCCTGTTCCTCCGTGCGTGGCGATCTCGCCACCTCCCAATGTCAGCCCTTCGTGGCCTCTATGGCTATCTCGCCATTTCCTACCTCAGCCCTTCGTGGCCTCTGTGGCTATCTCGCCACTTCCTACCTCAGCCCTTCGTGGCCTCTGTGGCTATCTCGCCATCTCCAACCTCAATCCTCCACTCTCCCTTCCACCCCGCTGGCTGGCGCCGTCATGAGCCCCTCAGCCACCAGGCTGAGGCACGGCGACCACCCAACGTGTTCACCACCCTTCACTCCCCCGACTCCCCCGACTGACCCAGATAGCTTCCTGTCTCCCCGCTATAACTTCTCCCCCACGTCACCCTGACTCCTCCCTCTCGGATCGTCATATCCGCCCCGCCCATTTACGCCCGCATTACACATGGACTGACACGCACACTTGGAC